CCTCATGTCGTTCCAAACCTGTATGACTTTTGATGTTATGCAGAATCGTTAGCTTCTATCGCGTCTTTTTCCAAACAGTGAAAAAGAACGGTGTCTTATACTGTCGCATCTCCTCTACACAGAAGAAATAAAGTCCTACACGCTTGGAAAAACATGAGGGTGAATATATGACAGACTTTTCGTTTTGGCGTGAACGTTGGCCAGTATTTGTTGTTCCAGCAAAATGTAATTCAGAGAAGCATCATAGTTGTCTAGCAGCAACTATTGTTTTGTTAGGGAGAATTCACGTAAACTAGGTCACTTTTTGACACTGATTTATAAAACATGTCCCAATTTACCTGAAATCACCCCTAGTTCACAGGTATTTGAGAATAAACCGATTATCACACCATCTGATTTAGTTTAAAGTCATGTGTCTGTGATAATAAATGAACTCTCTCATCACATCTTTACAGATGAATGCGCATTAACGCACGGTTGAGAGCTATTAGAGTTAAGTGGAAGGTTTCTAAATGATTAATATGGCATAATGTATTTCTCATTGATCTATGTGCTGCAATGTTGGACTGCGGGGACAGTGAGAGGAAATATGATGTGAGAAATGTGTAAACATATTTTCAGCAATGGACTACTTAATTCCCCAGGCACATAATGGCCTACATTACACATTTACCACAAATTGTAAAATAATGAAATAAATAAACATTTGTTTTCAATGCTTCAGTGCAAAGTTCACCCAAAAATATCCTGTCATTATTTACTCCTTCAGGCCGTTCCAAACCTGTATGACCTATTCTCTACATTTATATTTATGCTTTTGGCAGACACATTTAGCCAAAGTGACTTACACTGCTTTCACGCTATACATTTACATTTGATCAGTTCTTGCTTTCCATAGGAACCCCTGACCCCGCACTTCTGCTGTGTGAGATAAAATAAACTACCATTTCTTATGTGGGAATCCAAAAGATGTTTTGTAGAAAGTTCATACTGCTCATTGAAGAATACAGTGTCTTTCAAGCCTCAAAACTGAAAAAAAAAAAAAAAAACACAAAAGCATAATAAAAGTAGTCAGTATAACTAATTCTGTTTTCTATTTTAGTATATTTAAAAATGCAATTTATTCCTTTATTTGCAAGCGTCCACAATCATACATTTGCTGAATGGAAACGAGCAGCATGAACATTCTGCAAAATCTCTCATTATGTGTTCCACAAAAGAAAGCTAAGGACGTTTGGAACAATATGAATAAATAATGTATAACTGCAGATATAAAACATGTATAAATGATGACAGAATGTTTTTGGTTGAACTACTACTTTTCAGTTATTAAATTTGCCGCAATATCTGACAGATGTTAACATCACCTCTATCCAGACTAAAATGGCTGTTAAATATGCTCAGTGTGATGTACCAAGTTAAATATGCTCACTCAGTGTTTCAATTGGCGAGCACTTCACTGTGAAGTCTCCGTCACACTCATCCATCACACAGGCATCAGTGACAGATGGAAATAAAGCCTCATAAATATAAGCAAGTCTGGATCTTGTCATTGATTCCTTTGAGGGTTTCATTTTCACAGCACATAAATAAGCCAAATTTGTTCCAGACTGTGTGTTTGTGTGTGTGTGTGTTAGTGCCCTTAAAGTGCTAAATGTCAAATGGGACATGTTGCTGACTAAAAAAAAAAAAAAAAGTCTAAATTAACCAATCAAATTCCCAAGAATAAATCCCGATAGATGTAGAGTGAAGTAGATGTTCCCAGAGCTGTAAAGTGGTTTGGAATGAAGCTGATCCAGTCAATATTGTCTGAGGATTCTGTTAGGTCAGTATAATGTTAGGCTTCCCTGTTCTATTCATGTGTGTATTGTGTGGCAAGAAAATGTGTCTAAGGCACTATCAAATTGGGCTGGCCAGGCATTACTGGGGGAATCAAAGCACTAATCAATTTATACACACAGCTCTTGGTTTTATTTTACAAGTGATTCATATCATATAAAACGGCTCATATTTTCTAGTGATGCATATAAACTTGATTTCCACTTCATAATTACTCATTCTTCTCTTTCATTCCTATTTCCTCCTTCATCATTATTGCACTAGCCATCTGAGACAAATGAGCAAGCAAATGACAATAAAACAGTGAGAGACAGAGAGTGACACACAGTTTGAGAGGAAGAAACTGGAAACCAGTGCAATATAAAAAAAGGGACCTGTGGAATTGAAGCAAACACAGGTTTCATAAGCTTAAATCACTCGTTTTTGTCATTTTCCAGGCAGGTTGATCCATCTCTGGCTGCGGGAGGAGTGAAAATGTTTAAAGAATGAATGAGGGTAAATTACTGCAGCGGTGCAGCCCAGCATGCCACGCAAGAAGAGCCAGACACAACAGCTCCTTCAGACAGACAGGCGGGCTGCAGCCCACAGGGTTGATGGACATCATGCATCAACTGCCCAGCCACTAGACAACAATCAGGCCTCTCTCAGAGGAGCAAACACACCGGCATACCAACACACAACTGCATCTTGTTCATGTCAGTATATGGTAGGTCTACTTAAGCATTAATGCCGATTAAAAGCAATAATGCTAAGTAATTGCTAATTGTACTTATACATAGAGATTATAGCTAAAGCAAACCAAACCCATATATAAACTCAATCATCTGATGTACCTTCCATCAGCGAAAAAATGTAAGCATAAAACTTGTTTCAAGTGCTACTTTTAAATTAAATTAGAATTTATGAATTAAATGAATCACATATTTTCCAGTTGTTTGCGACTGATTAATTATTTTTAAGAACTATTTTATAGAGATCACACTTAAGAGTAATTTCTAGATGAAGTATACAACTAGAAAAATAGTTTGGGGTCAGTCATTTTTAAAGAAAATTATATTTTTATTCAGCAAGGAAGCATTAAATTGATCAAAAGTAACAGTAAAGGCATTTATAATGTTATTTATAAGAATTTCTATATAAAAAAATGTTTTTCTTTTGAACTTTCTATTCAACACAAATGTTTTAAATATTGATAAGAAATATTACTTGTGCACTAATGTCACAAAGCAAGGCCAGACACAACAGGTAAGTGCAAATCAGGATGGTTTATTGACTGGGTAAGGGGATGACTGGAATAGGTGTGTAAAGGCAGGTGAGTGTCAACACAGTGAATGGTTCCAGGGTGCTTATCTGAGTTCTGATGGTGAGGATCGGATGCCGGTTACGTTGGAGATCGTGGAACAGTTTCCAAGGAGTCGTTGGAGGATCGCGGGAGGAACAGCAGGTAATTCGTTCTAGGAGAATTTGGCAGAGAGAGTCCAGAGAAGTTCGTAGGAGTGAACGGTAGACCGGACAGTGAGTGACTGTGCTGTGTGTGTATTTGTAGTGTGGCTTGATTGGTGACAGCAGGTGCGGGTGATCAGAACTCAGGTGACTGTGATCGGGTAATTATCCTGGATGGTGACTGAAGTGACTGTGATGAATCCCTGACAACTAACTCAGCATATTAGAATGATGATTTCTAAAGAGTCATGCAACACTGAAAACTGGAACAATGACAGCTGAATATTCAGCTTTGCCAGCACAAATCATAAATTAACATAAATGAGCATCATATAAATTAATATCATAAATTAAATTGGAAAATGTATTAAAATAGAAAGAGTATTTAAAATTTTAATAATATTTCACAATATTTTGTTTTTTTGTTAGTTTTTTTTTTTGTATCAAATAAATTCAGCCTTGAGAACCGGAGAATAAGAGATTTCTTTCAAAAAAATCTTAACAACCACAAAGTTTTGAACAGTAGTGTATATTTATCTATGGAAGTTAAAATGTATTAAAATATTGCTCATTTTCATGGGAAAAAAATCAAATTCCTTGATATTTCTAGATTTTGAGCACTAACTTTTATATTCAATATAGATAAATATTTTTGTTTTTTCACACAAAAGTGTGTGTGTGTGTATGTGTGTGTGTGTGTATAATATATGTATGTATGTATGTAATGTATGTGTGTATATGTATATATGTGTATATGTGTGTATATGTATATATATATATGTGTGTGTATGTATATGTATATGTATTATGTATGTATGTATGTATATATATGTATGTATATATATATATATATATATATATACACCTTGCTACGTGTACTGCGTTAGGCTAACCGAGACTTGTCATTTGCACTTATATATTGTTGCTTTTTTGTTAGTTTTGACTGCTTTTATTGTCCTCATTTGTAAGTCGCTTTGGATAAAAGCGTCTGCTAAATGACTAAATAAATAAATAAATAAAAATATTATTAAAAAATATTATATTCAATATAGAAATTTGCATTACATTTCAAGGCCTGGAAATTATAACATGATTTAATTTAAAAAAATAAAAAATGAAATGACCGGAAATGTCACAGGAAAATGTGGTCAAAACGTCATTTAAAGCATTTGATGAACATATGAAGATCTGCGGTCTAGCATTAGGTAGGCTATAACCTTTAGCATTTAATAATGAGAATTTATTGCCTGGCTCTTAGCACATCTGTCAATACACCCTCCTCTACTCCCGTCTCTCCCATTTGCATGTGAGCATGGCTGGACAAATTCTTTCATTTTTCAAACCATCTGTAGCTATTTGTAGTAGATACTGTTGTAATATTCCTGTCAAGCTGTCAGCTTTGTGCTCAGCGATCTGGCCTTGGGGACTCAGTCCCATTTAAACAAACGGCATCAAGTCAAGACGGACTGATTTTCTTTCCTTTCAGTACCGAAGATGGCAATTCCCAAACAATCCAGCACCAGCGCTTTATCATCATGATGTGAGATACAGCACCACCTTGTGTATACCAGTCCCAAATGCATTTGATGGTCAAGTAATCAAAAACCACTCTTCACATTTCCTGAGATTTGGAGAAGTGCAAAATTCCCAGTTCTCATATTTTGTTTTGTATAACAGCGGCACATTACGATATATCCATCATACGGACATAAACCTACCATGGAAGATGCTGTTGTCAGCCAGAAAATGGCGGCAATACTGTGGGCTTCCATGCTTGTCCATCTTCCTGTAGCTCATGATGGGATCCAGGAAGGATGGAGAGTGGAATATCTGTAATGGAGAGAGAAAAAAACATGTTTCATTTCTGTTGTTAAATATACAGTATAGCTTATTAAACAGCATCCAGCAATAAATTAAAATATGCATTTTGCATACATGAAGACATATTCAAATGGTAAAGGTTTTGACTCATGTCCTATGACAGCTAGAGGTTGATGTTCAGTCGCACATCTTGTCAGGTACAAAGCGCTCTGATTGGAAATGACAGGTGCAGACCTACAGTTACAACACTGATTGTACTAATGGGATTACAAAAGAGATTGTGGAGAAAGGCAAATAAGCAGGGAATGAAAAGGAGTGTGTATGTGTGTTGGGTAAAAAGGGACCGAGGGCTGAAGGTGCCCTGAGAGAGTTTATTACACATCCATGTCCATTATAAATGCAGAATACATAGGTGTGAAATGATATGTTGAGATCCTCCCAAAGGTGTAAATTATGATGTGCAGTATCACCTCTCTAATCTTCACAAATTTTCTACAATTACTTGAACTGCAGGCTTTTTAATTACTTGCAAAACAGTGAGGAACTTCTCACCTGGGAAATATAATTATTTTGTCCACAAGTGGTCTTCATCATTAAACCAGACACATTTTAAAGGGGAGAAGATCACTCATTAAAAAATAAAATAAAATAAAATAAAGTGAGAAACCGTAATGCTCAATACGATCGCTATACGATCAAATGGAAATCCTAGCTTCCCATAAAAAATAAAATAAAATAAAAATATAGCTTTGGATTAAATAAGACACAATTTAGCCAGAGCTGTGGTACTGTTTGCCTGTGGGGATCCGGGTTCCCCCATCTCTCCTTGTACTTTCCTATCAGTTCTCAACTATCCTACAAACAAACGAACAAACAAATAAATAAAAATTATTAAATTAATTAATTTATTATATTATATTATATTATATTGCATTGTATTGTATTGTATTATAGATGCTTTGGTCAGATTTAAACAAGTACACTACAAGGCAGAATCAAAGACTTTAAAGCCAGAACCTTCATGAATGAAAGCATTTTTGTTTTGAACTGTACATTACTGTTCAAAAGTTTGGGGTCAGCAAATTTTTTTGTTATTTTTTTAATCAGCAACTATGCATTAAATTGATCAAAAGTAACAGTGAAGACATTTATAATGTAACAAAAGAATCGTATTTCAAATATATGCTGTTTTTTAACTTACTCACAGGATCTTGAAAAAAGTTTATCATGGTTTCCAAAAAAATATTAAGCAGCAGAAACCGCGTCAACACTATTAATAATAATAATAAATGTTTCTAGAGCAGCAAATCAGAATATTAAATTATTTTCTGAAGCAAGCAGAAGAGACTTCTTTTAAAAACATTAAAAAAAAATTAAATCTTACCATTATAAAACTTTTGACTCTTCCATAGATAAAAACTATACAATATGCAGTTTGCTACCCATAATTGGTGGAACGAAGAGCATGTGGAGCTGGATCATAACAGAAACTATTCACTCTTACTAGAGCCCCCCACAAAGTCTATGCGTTTGACCCTTTGGCCTCAGTCTGCACTAATTTCCTGAAACAAGCTGAAATCAGACAATAAAGCAGGAGCCGAGGGGGGTCTTGCTTTTTCCGGAAATTTCTCCCTCAGGATGTTCCCATAAATCACCAGCAGACAGACACGCAACAGGTGCTGCTGGAGAAAAAAACTTAACAGAACAGTAACAGAGATGCAAACTTTACTTTAAACCTTACAATACTGTACAGACAGTTCAGGAAGAGACTCCATGGGAGGTATTTCAAAGAGAAAGGTCAAAATCAGGGACAATGTCATATTCAGAGCATCCCTGATGTGTATGTGAACCACAGTGCCAAGATTCTAGACAAATCGACAAAAAGGCGGATCTCAAAGACTCTAAAACATGCTGTAAATGCGATCCATATGGCCCAGGAGACCTGTTTCAAACCCTCGCTCAAATTAGCTCTCCTGGTTTCTCTCATCTTGTGATTTGTCGCTTCCTGTCAGAATAGCTGGAATATAAATGTGAGGGTAATCAAAAGCTGTCACATGTGCTTGAGAAATTTATTCCTGTGACTATGAGGCACATTAGCTATGGCATAAGAGGCTAGCAGCCCCTTTCAGCAGGCATTATCCACACAGAGGGAGAAAATTGAGAATGATTATAGGGTCAGAGTGTGGTAATGTGAGCGCTTGGCTTTTCAATAAACCATGCTGTTTGCACTGTCATAAGAAAGTCCCATCTGCCCCTGAGGAACACAATCTGGTTTGGTGGCGTCCCATTATTAGGAAGTGGAAAATATAACCTTACTGGATTATGTAAGGCCTGCGTCTCTAGCTTCTGTTGCAGAAGCAAATCAAGGTGGACTCATTTCAGTAACAAGGCTCATTGAGGGGGAGTTTGATGGACAGTGGTCATATTTCTGTGTAGAAAATCAATACAAATCACTAAAGGTTTTAGGCGCATTCACACTGACAATTAAATAGCTGGATGTTTGGCAAGTTGCTGTATTGTTGGCATTGGTCTGTTGCATTAACCATATCTGGGGGTAGATCTCATTGGTAGTCAAATCGTCGCTGCACATTTGCATAAATCAGTCTCTATCAGTCTCTGTCACTAATGTCACCTCCAACTGCAAGCCCTCATCAAAATCAAATGACTTCCAGTTGGTTTTTCAGTGTAAACACTCAGCGTAAATGCCCCTTTAGTCATCAGTTGTGCATTTATCTTGTCAAGTAAGTAGGCACAATTAATGATATTTATCTCTGCTAAATTGAATTTTAAAACACTTGGCTGCATGTTATGGCGCCAACACGACTTTTAAAGTCATCAGATTGCTGTTCTTTCATACTACACAACAGTCTGTCATCGCTCATCACTCAAAACACATTTGTGACCCTGGATCACAAAACCAGTCTTAAGTCGCTTGGGTATATTTTTAGCAATAGCCAAAAAAACGTTGTATGGGTCAAAATGATCGATTTTTCTTTTATGCCAAAAATTATTAGGATATTAAAGGGGTCATATGATGCGATTTCAATTTTTCCTTTCTCTTTGGAGTGCTACAAGCTCTTGGTGCATAAAGAAGATCTGTAAAGTTGCAAAGACTAAAGTCTCAAATCCAAAGAGATATTCTTTATAAATTTAAGAGTCAACCACACCTACCTAAAACTGCTCGTTTAAACACGCCCCCACATATCTACGTCACTATGTGGGAAGATTTGCATAACGCCGCTTAAATGTTCACGCAAAGAAAGAAGGCGTAACTTTTATTCTCACTGTAGTATTTTTGTTGCCGCCGCCATGTCGTGAAGGCGCTGTGTGTTTCGTTGTGAAAGCTAAACTACTTAGTTTGGCCTTCCAAAAGAGGACGATATCCGGTTTTGTCATCCCTGGAGCTGTCTGTGCTGGTCGCTGAGGGAATACATCGTTTCCTGATCCTGGTAGAGTAGACTACAATGCCGGCTGTTCTGACTCAGAGACTGTAAGTACGTTTTTTATATTTATATTTTTATGGAAATAAATGTTATGTTCCAGGCTGTGCAGGGGATGTGATGTGCAGGGATGGGTTGGTGTCTGTATTCAGAAAGGCACTGAAAACAAATAACGCGTGTTCTAATATAAAACCGCGAGCCACTAA